ATCCAGGATCAAACCCCCAACTTCCTTTTACTTTGGTGATCCAACAGTCCAACAGCAATGGCGTAGAGACTGCCAAGTAGTAACCAGGAACCAGAATTGCAGCAAACAAACATCTCCAAAAGTTAGATGGACGGTAAGCCAGGCCGTAATTAAGAATGTGACGGAAGAGCAGGAACCAACAACAGCCCAAACCCATGGAACATCAAGCTGAAAAACACAAAGGTGTAAGCCCAGTTAGACATCACGGAACAATCCAATGACATCAGTTCAGAGAGGGAATGCAAACCACAAGACCAAAGAATGAAGCATGCAAATGCAAACATAAGACCCATAACCAGAACCTAGCATGTACAAGTCATAATGGTAAATCATACAACACAAACTTGATGGAAGAAACATCCACCTGAGAAAAGCAGTGAAGAAAATATGATGGCATTGGAGCATGATAACAAAACGAGAAACAAGGGAGGGAGAACCAAAGCCAAAAACATGAAGGGTGGGATAATACACCCCTCTGTAACATTCATAAAATCATGACTTTTCTTTTCATGAAATAGCAGAATCATGTAGTTTTATCTCAAAAACGGACGCTCAACCACAGAAGAGAAAACATGACAGATGTGCTTAAAGTAAAACGCATGGAAGGTAGACTCCCATGACCAATTAGCAGAAAGCATCAAGTCCTCCAGACGGCCCCCCAGGGACTCTATCGTCGAGGCAGATTCCCCACAGACTGAGTGGGCCCCTAACCGAGAGACATCCACACCAGCGGAGGACAATACCCACTTGACCTAGCAAGCCAGCAAGGGCTTTACCTACCAAGGGTTAGCGACAGGGTTAAATGGTGGCCGTTAGGTGAGAAACAAAGGGAATGCATCTGTAAGGACGGTGGGAGGCAGTCCTGCGTTCACACTCCTGAAGGCAAAAGACTGTGCACAAATGCAGCCTGGAAGGGAATGCACCATCGTACGCCTGGAGGTATCTAACTCCATGCCTCCTGGAGTAAAGGCGAAGGCCTCCGAGTCCAAAGCCCGAACTTTGGACACACCCTTGCATGTCACCAGGCAAAATAAAGTAACCAGTGTAGCATATAACTGGTAAAAAGCAACAGCTTTGCATTCGGAGGCCAGGTGAGGATGCAGTTCATGTCCCAAGGGATGAGATGAACTGGAGAATCTCCATAACAGGTTCTGAAATGGAATCCAGGTTCCGAGCCACACTCCAGCCAGATCAGATGCACCAGGCTGAGCAGCAGGTAACCCTAGTACAGTACTTCTCATGGGGGCCCATGAACTCGCCAGAAGGAGTCTAGCTGAGTCTGTTCAGGGACATTCCAAGGTCCCCTGAAATCAGCCACGCCAACAAGGGAACCACCCTTCGACCACCAAGGGGGAAGTATGGCCATCATGACCCAGAAGGAGAAGAGGGTCCAGCCTTAGCAGTCTGGGAATCTTGATGGCCAGGACCTGAGGGAACCAGGGCTGTGCCAGCCAGAAGGGAGCCATGAGAAGAATCTTCGCCGGCTGACAACAGACTTGAAGAAGCATCCTGAGCAGCATGAAGAATAGGGGAAAGGCATAATGGCATGCCACACTCCAATCCTGAAGAAAGGCATCCAGAGAGTCTCGGTCCAGTCACCAGCTGAAGAGGCAGTTACCGGTTGAGGCGAGTAGCGTACAAGTCCAGGCTGAGCAGAACCCAAATAGTCAGGTGGCAGAGTCAAATTCCAGGTGTAGGGACTAGCAACCAATCATGTCATGATTCCCCTTTATTCCAGAAGTTTGGTCCTTAAGGGGTAACCCCTTAAGGACCAAACTTCTGGAATAAAAGGGACCTTAAGGACACATGACATGTGTGACATGTCATGATTCCCTTTTATTCCAGAAGTTTGGTTCTTAAGGGAAGAAAACCCCTTAAGGACCAAACTTCTGGAATAAAAGGAACCTTAAGGACACATGACATGTGTGACATGTTATGATTCCCTTTTATCCCAGAAGTTTGGTCCTTAAGGGGTGGTCCTTAAGGGGTAACCCCTTAAGGACCAAACTTCTGGAATAAAAGGGAATCATGACATGTCACACATGTCATGTGTCCTTAAGGGGTTAAACTTCACCTGCAGCCTCCTATCTGTAGTGGTTTTGATGCTTAGAATACCAGTTAAAATGTTCATTGCTTTACGTTTTTGCATTGCAATTAGAAATTCTAGATTAACATACAGGTGTGTTCCTACTCCTATTTTAAACGACAGACTGATGATGCTGTATAACTGCTTAACCCCTTAAGGACACAACTTCTGAAATAAAAGGGAATCATGACGGAATATTTCCATCATGTGTCCTTAAGGGGTTAAGATTCTCATAAATAATGAATTAGCTTTTGACTTTAACATTTGAGTTAAAAATAAAATCAGCATATGGTGCACTAAAATCTTTGTGCTTTCTGTATAATTGTATATGGAATACCTGCTTGATGGCCAAAATTTGTAAGTTGCAGTATACGTTTCAGATACTGTACTTTAAAGGAGCACTACAGGATCAAGAATACAAACATATATTTCTGACCCTATAGTGTAAAAACCACCATCTAGCCCTGCTGGCCCTCTCTTGCCTCCCTAAATATAGTAAAATCTTACTTGTATTCAAGCCTGAAACTGCTGGCTCTGCCGCTGTCTGGCTCATAATAGCAAGCTGTCTGCTGACATCATCAGAAGTGGTGGTCTGAGCCAATCACATTGCCTCCCCATAGGATTGGCTGAGACTGTCAAGGAGGAAGATCTGGGGCAGAGCCAGCACAAGTCAATCACAGCCCTCGCCAATCAGCATCTCACCACAGAGATTAATTGAATCAATGAATCTCTATGAGGAAAGTTCAGTGTCTGCATGCAGAGGGAGGAGATACTGATATGTTGTGATGCCCACTAGGCAAGACTGAGATAGGAAGCTCTAGCAGCCATCTGAGAAGTGGCCAGTGGAGTTATCACTAGGCTGTAATGTAAACACTGCATTTTCTCTGAAAAGACAGTGTTTACAGCAAAAAGCCTGAAGGGTATGATTCTACTCACCAGAACAAAGGCAACAAGCTTTATTTGTTCTGGTGACTATAGTGTCCCTTTAATATTTAAAAAATGTTTTGTTTTTTATTATTCTAAAAAATATATACAAACAGCAAATTACAGCTAATACATCTGAGTTTCATATTCCATAATAGTTTATAACATCCCAGTTAAAGGGACACTATAGTCACCAGAACAACTACAGCTTATTGAATTTGTTCTGGTGAGTAGAATCATTCCTTTCAGGCTTTTTGCTGTAAACACTGTATTTTTAGAGAAAATGCAGTGTTTACATTACAGCCTAGTGATAACTTCACTGGCTACTCCTCAGATGGCTGTTAGAGATCCTTCCTGGGTCCAAACATTCAGTATCTCCTCCCTCTGCATGAAGACACTGAACTTTCCTGATTGGGCTGTGTTTGAAGCATGCTGGCTCTGCCCCTGATCTGCTTCCTTGTCAGTGTCAGCCAATCCCATGGGGAAGCATTGTGATTGGATCAGGCTACCACTTCTGATGATGTCAGCACACTGCTTGTTTTTCTGAGTCTAACAGCATGCAGAGTTACAGCTTTAGGCTTGAATACAGTAAGATTTTTACTATATTTATTGAGGCATGAGAGTCCCAGGGGGGGCTAGATGGTGGTTTTAACACTATAGGGTCAGGAATACATGTTTGTGTTCCTGACCCTATCGTGATCCTTTAAGTTATTTCTTAAACTCATAGCATAAATTTATACAAACCCATTCCAATAGCCATAATTGCTAAAAAACACAAAATATACAGAAATCAAAAATAAAAACAAACAGCATATTGTGTCAGCTATAATTAGAAATTTGTTCAGGTCTGTTATAAAAAAGGAGAAGGAAGAGAAGAGGCAGTGAAATAGAGAAATAATTTTACTGAATGGCAATAGGTGCTTTTGAGAGAACAAACAGCCTCATTTAAAAAAAAAAAAAAACATGAATGCACCATGCCTCTGGTTCTTATTGAGTATCACTATACCACTACCACTAATAATCAGTCCCTTCTTCTAGTCTCATATAGTATACAAGATAGCCTAAACAAAATGGAAATAAAGTTAAATTAGTATTTTTAGAGTTACCATAAATTAAATTTGTTTCATTACGTTTTCAGTTACTGCAAAAATGTCAGTTTAAATTTCAGTTGCTGCATGGAGGTCAGGGCCGGTGCAAGGATTTTTGCCGCCCTAGGCAAAAGAAGGATTTGCCGCCCCCCTCCCCCCCGGAACATCGCAATGCCCCACCCATATGAACTAATGCCAGTGCTGCACACAGTGTGTGTTTACATTGAAAAGCCTGCAGGGACAAACTATAGACACCAGAACAACTTTATTAAGCTGCAGTGGTTCTGGGGACTATAGTGTCCATTTAATGTGAGGTAAATTAGAGATTAGTGTCACTAATAATATACTAGATTGCCTACTTACAACCAGATGAGGATGCTGATGGGCTCTGGCTGCAGTCTGGCTCCACTGGTCTGGTGTAGAACAGGATCTCTGGAGGCTGTTTGTAACTGTGGCCACAAAATTCAATGTTCTAGGAGAACGGGAAGCAGCTCAATTTTGGGGCCTCTTACATAGCTCAAGGTCTGGGCCCCAGGGCCTGACGGTGAGTATGCCCATAAAGCCCACCCATAAGTCCACCTACATGTTCCACCCATGAGTTCGCTCACAGGGAGTGGAGTGTGTAGGGGGTGTGTTATGTGTTACTGTAGAGGATCTAATGTGTGTGCTTATGGAATGTAGTGTATAGGGATACCAGTTTGTGTAGGTGATGCAATGTGTATGTAGTGGAAGCAATGTGTTTTTGTGTAAGGGATAGAAAGCAGTGAGTGTTTGTGTATAAGGGATGTATTGTGTGTTTCTTGTTGTGTGTAAGGGATGCATTGTGTGAATCTGTGTTTGTATGCATAAGGGATGTAAAGTGTGTTTCTGTGTATGTAAGGGATGCAGTGTGTGTGTCTGTAAGGGGTGCGTTGAGTGTGTGTAAGAGATGCATTGTGTTTCTGTGTGTGTGTGTGTGTAAGAGAAGCAGTGTGTGTTTGCATGTGTGTGTAAGGGATGCATTGTGTGTTTCTGTGTATGTGCAAAGGATGCATTATCTTTATGTGTAAGGGTTGCATTGTGTGTTTCTCTGTGTGTAAGGGAAGCATGTTGTGTTTCTGTGTGTATAGGGATGCATTGTGTGTGTGTGTGTGTGCGCGTGGTGTGAAAGAGCTCCCTGTCCCCCTGTCCTATAGAGCTCTCACTTCCATTCCTTAGAGATCTCTTCTCTCCCCCCCCACCTCCCTTAGTGGTCTCCTTTTCTCCCCGACTTTCCATTAGTGGTCTCTCCTCTTCCCCCACCCTCCCCTAGTGGTCTATCCTCCACCCCCCTCCCTTAGCGGTCTCTCCTCACACCCCTCCCCTAGTGGTCTCTCCACCGCCCCCTCCCTCCTTTAGTGGTCTCTCCCTCCCCTACGTTCTCATCTCCCCCCCTCGTGTTCTCCTCTTCTTCTCCCTCCGTGTTTTCCTCTTATTCCCCCCTCCCTGTGTTCTCCTCTTCTTCTCCCCCCTGTAATCTCTCTTCTTCCCCCTCCCTGTAATCTTCTCCCTCCCTGTAATCTTCTCCCCCTTCCTCCCTGTATCGCTTCTTCTTCTCCGTAATCTTCTCTTCTTCTCCCCTAATCTTCTCCCCTCCCTCCCATCAATCATCTCCTCCCCCCTCCCCATCAATCATCTCCCCCCCTCCATCAATCATCTCCCCTCCATCAATCATCTCCCCCCCCATCAAATCATCTCCCCCCCTCCCTCCCATCATCATCTCCCCCCTCAATCCTCCCCCCCCTCCATCAATCATCTCTAATCAAATCATCTCCCCATCCATCAATCATCTCCCCATCAAATCATCTCCCCACCCTCCCTCCCATCAAATCATCTCCCCCTCAGTCATCTCCCCCCCTCAATCATCTCCCCCATCCATCAATCATCTCCCCATCCATCAAATCATTCTGCCCCCCTCAATCTCTCTAATCATCTCCCCCATTATCAAATCATTATAATCATCTCCCCCTCCCTCCCATCAGCTTCTCCTCACCTCTCCCTGCCCTGTAGTGGCAGAGCTCCTTTTCGGTCCGCGACCCCGCGGACTGACAGGAAGTGCACTCAGTGTGCACTTTCGCAACGATCCCAGCCGAATGTGGTTCTGAAATATATGGGTGGGGTGAAATGTGGAAGATATTGAGGCTAAACTGATAGGATCTCGAAACAGTCAAAGGATTTGCCACCCCGGAACATCGCAATGCCCCACCCATATGAACTAATGCCAGTGCTGCACACAGTGTGTGTTTACATTAAAAAGCCTGAAGGGACAAACTATAGACACCAGAACAACTTTATTAAGCTGCAGTGGTTCTGGGGACTATAGTGTCCATTTAATGTGAGGTAAATTAGAGATTAGGGTCACTAATAATATACTAGATTGCCTACTTACAATCAGATGAGGATGGTGATGGGCTCTGGCTGCAGTCTGGCTCCACTGGTCTGGTGTAGAACAGGATCTCTGGATGCTGTTTGTAACTGTGGTCACAAAATTCAATGGTCTGGGCCCCAGGGCCTGACGGTGAGTATGCCCATAAAGCCCACCCATAAGTCCACCTACATGTTCCACCCATGAACTCACAGGGAGTAGAGTGTGTAGGGGATGTGTTATGTGTTACTGTAGAGGATCTAATGTGTGTGCTTACGGAATGTAGTGTATAGGGATACCAGTTTGTGTAGGTGATGCAGTGTGTTTGTCAGGGAGCCGCGGGCGGCGAGGAGGGGAGGCTGCATGCCACTTGCAGCACTCACCCTCAGTCCATCGCCGCCCGCGGTCTCCTCTCTGCTTACCTGTCGGCGAGCAGCGTCTCCTCTGTGCCGCTCGCCGCCAGCGTCCTCTACGCCCCCCAGCGGCAGCATGTATAACGCTGCACGCTGGGAGGTCCAGGAGTTAAGTAAACGCCGGGGTCACGTGAGTGACCCGGCGTTAAAGAAACAGTACCACAATCACAGTGGGGGTATAGATATCCCCCACGTGTGATTGTTAATTCTGATTGGAAGTTATCCAATCAGAATTAAACCAAGGGTATTTATACTTACCTTTCCTGTCCCTCAGTGCCCTGTTGTGGTCTTGTGATACCTGTAGCGTGGTGTTCTCGTCTTGCTCTCTGGTTACTGATTATTTGGCTCGTTATTCCGATTATCCTGTCTTCTCCACTCCTTTGACCTCGGCTTGTTTCTCGTTCTCCCGTTTTCTGGCTCCCTTTACCTGGCTTGTCTCCTGACTATTCTTAGCGTGCTTAGCCCGGCCACTCTAAGGTCCGGTACGGCACCTTTTCTGTGAGTGTGTGTGTGTCAGCGTGTTAGGTTCCCCGAATCGTGACATTACAACAGGGCCACCATGGAACCTGCAGACATTCCACAGCTGTTAGTTAATCAGGAGGCTAGAATGGACGGTTTAGACCACCGTATGGATCAGTTTGCCCAGGCTTTACAAACCATACTGGCTCGTACTGCCCACTTGCAACCTGCCGTCCAAGAAGCTGTTGCTGCTGTGTCAGAACCCATTCCTGATCCAGTACCCGCTCCTGCTCACGTGGTTCACATGACGCCACCTCAGCGCTATAGCGGTGATCCAGCATTGTGCCGTGGTTTCCTCAACCAAATTGATATTCATCCCATCAATCATCTCCCCACATCAAATCATCTCATCCCATCAATCTCCCCCATCCCCCATCTCCCCACCCTCCCATCAAATCATCTCCCCCTCAGTCATCCCCAATCATCTCCCACCATCATCAAATCATCTCCCCAATCTCCCCATCTCCCAATCATCATCTCTCCCCATCCCATCCTCAAATCATCTGCCCCTCAGTCATCTCCCCCCCTCAATCATCTCCCCCCAATCATCTCCCCCCCATCCCATCAAATCATCTGCCCCCCTCAATCATCTCCCCCTCCCTCCCATCAGCTTCTCCTCACCTCCCCTGCCCTGTAGCGTGGCCGAGCTCCTCAGTGTGCACTTCCTGTCAGTCCCGCCGGGTCGCGGACCGGAAAGGAGCTCGGCCACGCTACAGCAGGGCAGGGGAGGTGAGGCACTGTGGCAGCCGCCTGAGCGCTCTCTATAGAGCGCTCAGGCGGCTGCAGCATTTAAAGGGCCAGCGATGGGGGCGCAGGGCGCCCTCTCCTATATGGCGCCCTAGGCGGCTGCCTAGTTCGCCTTATAGGAAGCGCCGGCCCTGGCCCTGATGGAGGTGTAACATCTTAATTATAACAAAGCAACTAAATATATTGCATTTAAATCATATGGCCTCTCCCTCCGATAGCCAATAGTTTATCCAAGGTTTACATATTTTAAAAATATTTTTCATTTTTATTATCTGCTCCCCAATATAATTCCTCCATTACCCTGGTATCTTCAACCCTCTCTACCCAATTTACTACCGTCGGTATATTGTTTTTTTTTCCAGAAGACTGGGATTAGTGTATTAACCTTATTAATAAAAAACATAATTTATGTTGATTTACATCAGTAAAGGCATTAGGCCATCCAAGTAAGATCTGCGAAGGGTTTAAATCATATGATAAAGGTAAAATTTGTTTGATATATATTACTTGTTTCCAGTACTGCTGAATATTTGAACAAAACAGCCAAATATGTTCAAGGGTGCCTTATTCCAGCCCATATCTCCAACACTTATTATGTACTTTTAGGAAATAGCAGTGCATTAATGCTGGGATCCTATATCACAGTGTTACCCGTTTATATAAGGATTCCCTTTTACTCTGACTAACAGAGGTCATCATAATTTTTCAAAAACTATATGACCAATTTGGAAGAACTTCCTTTCGTAAAAAATTTATACGTTGGCTGTATATTAAAATGTCCAACGACGGTGTTTTAGAGGGGCATGGCAGCTCAGTTAGTTTATTGTATGTTGCAGAGCAGATATAATCATATCCTGTTTTAATTAAAGGGACACTATAGTCACCAGAACAACTACAGCTCAATGTAGTTGTTCTGGTGAGCATAATTAGACAAAAGGCAGTATTTACATAACTGACTAGGGACACCTCTACTGGCCACTCCTCAGACAGCCACTAGAGGTGCTTCCTGGGTAACGTTCAGCCGTGGAGACGCTGAACCTTTCCAATAGGAATGCATTGATAAGATGCTGATGCTGTCAGAGTGTCGGATTGACACTTAGACACCTTCCTGAGTCTAAGAAATTCAGATGGAGGTGAAACACAGAGACAGCGTAGTCCCTATTGTCTACGTATATCTCTTGACTGGGTTGGCATTTCAGTGAAATTCCAACACAGTCAAAATGAGTACTTTATTAAGTTTCTCTTTATGATATACTCATTTTGGGGGGGGGAGGAGGGATGACAGTGCCACTTTAAAAGTCCTATATCAGAGGCTTCAGCACAGCAACACTGATGGACATAATTGATTTGTATCCAATCCTAAAAACCAAGTCAGTGTTAGTATTATTATTATTATTATTATTATTATTATTACTGGTATTTATATAGTGCCAGCATACTCCGTAGCGCTTTACAATATTATCAAAGGGGGGGATTTAACAATAAATGGGACAATTACAAAAACTTACAGCAACAACAGGTTGAAGAGAACCCTGCTCAAGCGAGCTTACAGTCTATTGCTAACTCTTTGATTGTAATTCCTTACATATACAGCTATACAGGTATATTCATACTATATATACACATACCCAGTGGTGTATCCTAGTTTTGTGCTGCCCTACTATTTAAATTTATGGATTGCATTGAATTCTGGTATTTGTAGTCCAACAAAATCTGGGGTCAGGTCACATTTTGAAACACTGTTTAAGGTATGTTAGCTGTGCTAGGTATTGCTTTATTCAGCCTATACTGTATCTAGTTTGTAGATTAACATATATCCATTTTCAATTCTTCTGAGAAGTCTACATTTATACAGTAACGTCTTGCTGTCTCCTCTGGTTAAATTGTACAACACTGTGAGATGTGTTGGCACTTAATAAATAAATGATAGTTTCCTAAATTCGTGATGAGTTGTCTCCTGTGAGCTTCTTCTCAGTGCAAGAAGGGGAGGCGAGGGAGGGAGGGAGGGTGAGTGTAAGTAAGGGGAATAGAGGCTGGAGAGAGGTTTAGCCAATCCCTCTGTCAGCTCTCAGTGTGTAGACAGGAGGAGATAAGGGGCTGGCAAAATCCACTAACCTC